ATCCAGGGACTCCAGGATCATGACCTGAGCCGAAGGCAGTCGCTTAACCAACTGAGCCACCCAGGCGCCCCATATTAATGAATCTTATGAGTCACTCTTACTTATTGTTATTGGATTAAAAATTTTAGGCATAAAGCTCATCCGATTTATTTAGAAAGGGACTTGGCTACAAACACAGTACCACTAAATTAGCTTCTAGTTTTGTTTTGCTGCTTGAACATAAAGGGTGAGTCCCACTGCCCTCTACCTTTCCTGACTGTGTCGTGCTCCGGTCACTTGGTTAATTTTCTGAGCCAGCTCATACCCTAAATATAAGTCCTTGTGTGTTGTTTCCTGAAAGGTGTTGTCACTGTCATCCTGAAGCATATTCAAGGAGGTTCCTTGTCCGTGAGAAGCCCCATTAGCTATGGAAGACTGGCTGGCTAAGTTATGCTTAAAACATATTAAATGCCAACAATAAACCAAATAGGGTGTGGGTTTGTAATGAGTCCTGGTCAGAAGGGAGAGCGTGCGTGATGGCAGGATGGTGGCATGTTTGGTGTTCCCGTCAGATCGACACTCATTGTATCCAAGCAACATGAATAAGGGGCAAAATGTGGGCTGGGATGACCGATAGCTTTGAAGCCATCAAGGAACCTTCTTAATCCTGGCACTAAGTACAGTACAGAAGCCTTGTGATTTAGTTACCAAACTACTAAACTGTCTTTATGAGGATGCAGGCTTCTCAAGAGACAATTAACCTAGAGATTCACAAGATGTTCTAAGGCATGCTGGTCTGAGCCAAAGAAGCCAGGTGGACCAGGGCAGGAGCCCCACCCACCAGCAGGGATATATAAAAGCTCAGGGACCTGAAGGGACATTCACAATTCAGGAGCTAGCTTCAGCAAGTTACCCGCAGCTCTCTGTCTGGCACCATGTCCTACAACTGTTCTACAAGGAACTGTTCTTCCAGGCCAATTGGAGGACACTGCACTGTCCCCGTGGCTCCAGCTGCCACAGCTTCTTCCCATGATGCCGACTGCCTGAGTGGCATCTATTTGCCCAGTTCCTTCCAGACTGGCTCCTGGCTCCTGGACCACTGCCAGGGGTCCACCTGTGAGTCCACTGCTTGCCAGCCAACCTCTTACCAGTCAAATCCCTGTGTCTCCAGCCCTGGACAGGTGACCTGCTCTCGGCAAACCACCTGTGTCTCCAATCCCTGCTCAACTACCTACAGCCGGCCACTCACCTTTGTCTTTAGTGGCTGTCAGCCCTTGGGTGGCATCTCCACTGTGTGCCAACCGATGGGAGGAATCTCCACCAGGTGCCAACCGGTGGGGGGAATGTCCACTCTCTGCCAACCAGCCTGCGGGGTCTCCAGGACGTACCAGAGGTCCTGCACGTCCAGCATGTCCAGCTGTCGAAGAACTTGCTAAGTGTGTGGGAGCCAGTGAGTGAATCAAGACTCCAGGACCTGCCAGCGGTGTTTCCAGGCTCGTCCAGCATGCTGCCTGTCCCTGAACAACTCTTCGTTGCTGACCACTGTTCTGATGGCCTTACTGCTTGGCTGCTAGCTCTGAATAAGCTGCCTTTGGCAATCGATGATTGTTCTGGCTAGCACCAAGCTTATTTTAAGGGTTGATCACTGGTGGCGCATATGCCTCTGGATGTTTCCAGAAACTTTACTTCCCATACTCCAGTCTCCGGTGGTTTTGACATGTTTTGACCTTGCTTCTGTGTCTTCTGGCTTCTGCTTTTGTGCCTCTGAGGAAGGGAACTTGTCTCACTCTGTATTTTTCAATAAACCTGCTTACTTGGCATTGCAAATGTCTGTCTCAGTAGAGTTCTTTATTTGCAAGGGTTTTTGCTGTCTATGAGCCATCCTTGCTGACCAGAGCCTGACATTCTTCTCTGAGCATAGAGTATGGGTTCAGTCATTGTGTTTCATGACAAGCAAGGGAATATCTGATATTTTACTTGGTTAGAAGGCTTTGGACATGTAGTGATCTAGAGTGACGTGTCCTCTATATTTACTCCAATTTGTATGGGTGCACAGAATAATTTCCATGTAGGAAAAAGAAAAGTTACCCCGGGAAACCAAGTCTTTTGGGAAACTATACAGTGAAGGAGGCGGTGGAGTCTGATAGAGTCTCAGAGTCTTACTTTACCAGAGGACCGCAGTGGAAAACTTTGCAGAAGGTCCCTTCGTGATCAGACCAGATGGAGGGAGAAAGAGGAAGGGTGGGGAAGTTGGTTTCCAAGGCCTGAGATTCATGGCATCAAAGGGTGGCCCCAGCTGTATATTCCCCTCACTTGCTGCAGAAGTTTGGTAGATCCTCCACACCCTTCCCCCCCGCCCCCCCCACGCCCCCTCCCCACCCGGGGCCAAATGCTCAGAGTAAATCAAAGCTCCAGGTTTCAGTAAATCTGGTCAGGAGAAACTTAAAAGCAAACTTCAGAAACACATAGTGGTTTATTTTAATAAGAGCCTTATTCCATGCCTGTTCTCCCCTGGATCCTGTGTATTGATAAAACAAACCATCTGGACTGGTGATCCACACACTAACTCCTTTTGCTTTTTTTTTTTTTAAAGTGAGAATTGGCCGTCTATTGGTTTGCTTTTGCCCTTCCTTTTCCTCTGTTACATCCAGAAACACATCTCTGTATTTCCTTTACGGAGTTACTCTAGGAGAAACAGAAGAGGAAGATTTTTTACAGAGAATGGAAGCATACAAGGTGTGTGCGCCATGAGCAATGGGCGCTTTTTGCCTACCTGAGGAGCTCAGTGCCTGGTGCAGATCCGGATCAGCAACCTCTATTAACAAAATGGTTTTCTTATTTCACTAATGGTTTTTCAGAGATGTATAGATGATTTCTGGATAGATGGCATATTTTCAAATTTTTCCTACTGCTCACTCTACTCTTAGAATTAATCAAAGACATGTTAGGGTGAATGACTCAGCAGTAATATTTCATTAAAGTAAGACATGGTTTTTATTATATATTATTCCAGACCCATTGTCTTTAAAAGTAAAACTCTGGGTTTCAGATATGTTCTGGTTTATTCTAAAATAGAAGTCACCAGGGGAACCCTCCATGGCTCCTTCAAAGCTGTTGCTTCCATGACTCTCACTGATTGCGTATCTCAGTCACTTCACATATGATCTGGAAAATTCAAAGTTTTTCAGAGATTGAAAAACTATTTAATTTTTTGTTTATTCTTTAGCTTTTTAGATTTCAATAAAAAGTTATAAGGATGGAAACACCTTCCTTTTCTTTTTTATTTAGGTGGCTAATCATCTTAATAGATTCACATATTAGTAATTTACAATAACAGGTTTTATGGCTGCTATGAATAAACTTTTGCTTGGGCTATTTATTATAATGGTGTGAACATCCAAGGATGACGTAGCTATCCTGCAAAGCTACTTCCTTGCCTTTATTTCTGATGGGGGAATTATTCTATTTGTATTTGAACTTTGAAAGTTCTCTCCATTCTTTGCTTTATTTCACAATAAATGATAAAGTTTCTGTGTTCACCTTTGAGGCCTGTCTTTTAAAAGATAGGGCAATGATTTCTTTCTCTTCTTGGTCTGGCGCCTAGAGAAGGGTCTTATATGTATGTAATATCCCGGAGCTGTGGGGAAGCAGTTTGAGGGCCTTTGGTTCAAATCCTGGTTTTGCCGCTTGGTTACAGGGTTGTGAAGCTCCCTAAACCTTAGCCCAACTATCAAATGGACAAGATGGTAGCATCTCATGCCCCCATTTGCAGGAATAAACTGAGGTAACGTGTGTCTCCCAGGTATCAGCTGAGGCGTCCTGCTGTTTGGTATTAAAGTGAACCTAGCATTCTTGGGACACCTGGGTGACTCAGTTGGTTAGGCATCTGCCTTTGGCTCAGGTCATGATCTCAAAGTCCTGGGATTGAGTCCTATGTTGGTCTCCCTGCTCAGCGGGGAGCCTGTTTGTCCCTCTGCCCCTCATCCTGCTTGTGTTCTCTCTCTCTCTCAAATAAATAAATAAAATCTTAAAAAAAAAAAAATAAAGTGAACCTGGCATTCTCAACTCCTTTCCCTCTTCAGTGGAAGTCTTGGCTACTCCTGGCATCTCTGAAGGGTCTGAGTTGAGAGGCTGGGAGGAGGTGCCTTACTGTTTTCCTTCCTCATCCCTCTGGCTCTGAACTTGCACTTTAGAAAAATGAGTTCATTTTGTGACTCTTCTTCCTGTTGCACAGTCTGTTTCTGTTCAGATTGTAATGATTCAGGCATCTTAGCCCTACTTCCCTTGATGTCCACAAAACTCGTTTACACAAGGCATCTGTGTGTCTAACAGACTTTACAGAAAGTTTGGGACCTAGATGGTATTTATATTCTAGTGAGGGAAACAACTTAAAATTGAATTTAGACATTAAGAAGTTCTTGGGCCATTGTCTCTGGAACATTATCATATTCAGTTCAGAACGAAAGCTCTCCTTCCTTCCCTCCCTTCTGCCCTCCCTCCCTCCCTTCGTTCCTCAAATACTAGACCTCTAATGTTCCAGCTTTGGTGCTAGGTGCTGGTTATGCAGCAGTGAACAAAACCACCATCATTCTTGCCCTCATGAAGCTCACAGCTTAGTTAATTAGAGTAATTTCTGTAGAACTTTTTTATTTTCTTCTGTATCTTCCCCTACAAATGCTTATGAGTGCTTACCAAGGTGTTACATCACATATGTTCTCTGAAAAGGGTGGGTTTTTCTACCTTTTTTCATATATGATGCTTATTTATATTACAACTATGATAAAAACTGAAAATACAACCAACCTCTGGGATATTTGGCTTTAAATCTAGGAGACATGAAGCTTGTAAAAGTCAAGGGAATGAGCTGATAATCGGTTGAATGGCAAGAATGAACGGTTGACAAATTAGGGTACAGACCCAGACTGGTTCCCTCTAAAAGGGCACTCTACCTTCAGAGAAGGTAGGCTCTGCAATTTGACCCTAGCCTTGGCAAATATCTACTTGGTCTCTTTACAGTTTCTGGAAACTACAATTTCCACTGAGGAATTTATAAATGCCTTCATATCTGAAGGGTCTTGTGTTAGCTTTCATGGGGCCGAGATCCTTATTTATTAGGGTCACTAGCTCCAACTTCTTTTATATGCTCTACTTTCCTACATTTAACTGCCTGCTAGGCCTTTCCAGAAATATGTCTTATAATAACATTCAAAGAAATTTTCAAAACTCAAATTGCTCATAATGAAACTTATTTTTTTTTTTTAAAGATTTTTTTTTTATTTATTTATTTGAGACAGAGAGAATGAGAGAGAGAGAGCACATGAGAGGGGGGAGGGTCAGAGGCAG